ACCAGCAAAATTTTGAGCACCAGTTAGGTCCAGAAATCTTGCAACCTACAGATCACCAGCAAAATTTTGAGCACCAGTTAGGTCCTGAAATCTAGCAACCTAAAGTTCACCAGCAAAATTTTGAGCACCAGTTAGGTCCAGAAATCTAGCAACCTACAGCTCACCCGGAAAAATTGAGCACCAGTTAGGCCGTCCAGGAATCTTGCAACCTAAAGTTCACCAGCAAAATTTAGAGCACCAGTTAGGCCCAGAAATCTTGCAACCTAAAGCTCGCCAGCAAAAATTTGAGCACCAGTTAGGTCCAGAAATCTTGCAACTTACAGCTCACCAGCAAAATTTTGAGCACCAGTTAGGTCCAGAAATCTTGTTCACGGCCGCTTCAAGGAGCTGAAGGCAAAGACAGAGGCGCGTGAGCTTGAAGTTGCGAACCTCAAGGCGGCGCGTGAGCTTGAAGTCAAGAACCTCAAGGAGGCGCAGGCGTATGAGGTTGAAGTCAAAAAGCTCATGGATGCCAACGCAGCTGGTTCGCGGGTGTTGTCCGGGATGGCAAAGCAGCACAAGAGCACCTTGACGCAGGTCAACCTGACAAATCAGGTTCAAGTCCAGAAGCTCAAGGAGGCCAATGCTGCACAGGAGCGAGACCACCTTGCACACATGACTGCGATGAAGGACAAAGTCCAGAAGCTCCAGGCTGCAAGACCTTCTGGCTGGCGTGGAACCCAACAAGAAGGTCATCGAGTCCTTAGAGAACAAGCTGACCACTTACTGGAAGGGAGAGGTGGGCCGCTTGAAGCAGCACCTCGCAGAGGTGAAGCGGCAAAAGGCTTCTTTTGCAGAAGGAGCTGTATGAGATGAAGACTGCTGAGCCTTTTATCAAGATTGGGAAGGCAGGGCAAGTTGGAAACAATAAGGTCAGTAAGCCACTGCGCTGAGCCGCGAAGGCCACATCCAAGAAGACTGCTGAGCGCCCCGACGAGAGGGCAGGGCGAGTTGGAAGCAAGTAGTTTATTATCCGCCACTGCGCTGCGCCGAGAAGGCCAAACCCAACACACGACCTCCATTGTCATCGCCCCCACGCCTGGCAGGCCACTGATGACCATCCCCGGCCGGCTAAGAAGCCGAAGAACCAAAAGGACAAGATTCGCAAAGCCCAGGAAACCGTCCGGGCCCTGGTGCTCTAAAACATATTATTATTGCACGGCCCCATTCCAAATTACACCTCTTTGCACATGTTCAACTGCTCAAGGCCTTTCTGCCAGAGCCAGACCGTCGACCCAGACGCATGAGGTGGACCTTGCACTGTCTCGGCCACAGATTCGCCTCTTCCTACTGAAGATTCAAGTTTGTCCTGCTAAACTTGGCCTGCGCGGGCTGCATCGACCAGAGCTCGTTTGGGGCCAATACCCATTTCTTCATTGCAGTGATGCTGTGTGTGGTTTTTGAAGTAAAGTCGTTAGCGCTTTGTTCACTGAAGGCTGAATCATCGCGTTGGTTGCCTCAGAGAGAAGCGGCAGAAATGTTGACACTTGCGTCAACAATTAGCATCACATACAAGTTGCAAGATGCCTTCAACTTAAGGGCTAAGACGCTGAGAAAGTGTCTTGAATACGTTTTCTTTACGAAGACTGACAGAGCATGTTGCCCCAGTGGATTTTGATACAGCATTATGCGCTGAGAGAGTGACAGGCGCATTGACAGGAAACACAATTGAGACATCCTACGCGTGTTTGTTGAACCTTTGTTCACTGAAGGCCGAATCATCACTGGCCCTGCTCCAGGGCAGGGCAGGGCAGGGCAAGCGAGATGGCATCGCTACTCGGGCGGAGCTTTGAGACGGAAGCAAAGGCAGCTGTGCTGTTGCCACTGCTGATCCTGTTTTGGTGTCATTTTGGGGCCCCCGAGCTGGGTAAACACAGGTTTGGTCAGGTTTAGTGTTTCATTCCAAATATTATAGGGCGTCGCCGGTTCAGTGCAACCAACTCAGGATCGCTCGGGCTCCAAACTGCAAGCTCATCGGGAAAGGGGGTCATGGTTGGTCTCATCACACGGTCTACATTGTAACCACCAAGCAGATTGGCAAGGCGCAGGAATTCTTGTTTGCTTATGGCCAGAGTCACCCCGCGCCAGAGATCAGGAGCACGGTGCCGCCAGCCAAGCCAAAGCGCAAAAGCAAAGCTGGCAAAGGGAGGAAAGTCCCTCCTGCCTGGGGCTGGCGGCAGCGATGTCAAACCAGGTGAGGTGGAGGACTTGGAAGGCCTCTCGCCCGACGAGGAGGTGGAAGAGCGAGGGTGTTGTTTTCGGGCTTGAACAGGTTTTGATTCGCTGGCGCTTAGGTTCGTTGTTGAACACACTCTCACGCCGCTAAGGCAAGTCCCTGCTGATGTGAAGCCAAGCCAACGGAACCGCGGAAAAAAAGAGATCGCGCGCGAAGTGTTTCACGCGCACCCCATGACACACCACTAGGAATTAACCAATCTGAGCACCCCAATGTGCCCTGCCCTGCGCAACATGACTGCTATAAAGCGGCCCCTTTATTTCCCCAAAACCAGGCCCAAAAGGACAACCAGGGTGGAGATACCAAACAATAACAGGCACTGCAACTCACATTGTCTGCAAATATGCGAATTGATGAAGATAACTGACGATGTGAGTTGTAAGCCTTAGCAATTCACACTATAACATTGGGTTTGCACAGCTAGACCATTGACCTGCATGCTTTATAATTGTGAATATCACAGGGATTCTGTAAACTGTTTTGTTTTTGCGTGGTTTTCACACTTGTACACCATGAGATTCACACTTGAATTACTCAAATCCAATGTAACAATTTGAATTGATAAGTTTCAAACTCACATGATCAATTATACCAATAATCAATTCTTATATTTGCAGTTGCATTAGATACAACTAACAATATGACTTGGAATGTATCTGTGTTCTCTAATGTCCCAACCTTGGAAAACAGTTGCCCTTATCTATGTGCATTGGTCAGCCGTTCTGCTTAGGTTCTTACATTCAAGTCACACAACTAAAAACCAAGCTAGCAAACCAAAAAGGTAGACATTTCAGGGGGGTAGCATATATATATATAATTAAGCCATTTGCTGTCGTAAATATGTACAATGTCTTGTGTTGTCAGTGTCAGTTTAGCATTCGTGGCACTGTAGTATAATGTAGTACATAATATCATTTTACCCCATCACAATCTACAAAGAAGAGACACCATAGCCGTCCCGAAGCATGATTGGTATTGTTTGTGAGTTTCTCAATGATTAATCTGCATGGACATGCAGTTGAGGTGCAGCCATGAGCCAAGCATTGCCTCTCTCACCAGCCGGGATCCACAGAGAGGGCCAGCAAGAACAGTCGATGTATGCAGTTTGAGTTTGAAAGGATTCTGATGTTTCCTCCATTTTCGGGATGTCACAGGAGACCCGTCAAGGGCGCCAGCCCGGGCGAAGCGCCAGTCTGAACCGCAGCCAGTGGTCCATGGGCGCAGAGGATCGGATGGAGGTTCGGATGGGCAGTGTCATGATGTCATGAGTCATGTTTTCTTCCCAAGACTTTCCAAAGCCTTTTAGATGCCCAAACATATTTCAGATGGTTTGGACATCACATGGCATGACTGTGACATACTGCGACACTGGCTGCAGTGGCTCATATTACCTCCTAAAACAGCTTCGCTTCGGTACTGCGCCTAAAACCCCTTTGTTGAACCGATGGTCTTGCCCTTCCGCCGAGCCCTTCGAGCCAGACCCCCAGCGCCGGCCGGTGTTCACGGCGCCGGACCGAGCAGAGCATCACGCGGAACCGAAGCCAGTTCACCTTGCACGAGAAGGAATGGAGAAGGGCTGGAAGGGAGGGGCAAACGTTTTGAAAGGATGGTCTATGATGGTCTCAATGAGGAGTTGAAGAATGGACCTGGCAAAGTCAAGCAGATCAATCCTTTGACGTGTTTGGGCCTGGGCACTTTTGGCCGCAGTGGGCCGGTGGAGACAAGATATTGTCAATGAGTTTGTCAGCGAGAGGTTACGCCCTGGAAGATTAACATGGAACCTGAAAACCACTAGGTTGCAGAGGAAAAATTGTCTTCCAAAGCAAAGGTCCATTTTCAGGTTCCATGTTAAGCTTCCCAGGTGTAATTAGCCATGTTTGAATCAGACCTTGATATTTCCTGAGACAGAACTCAACGTGGTATTGTGATTTATTGGTGCTCCATGTTGCGATGAGGAGCATGCCGAGGACCGGGAAGGCGTGAGGATGTCTTATATGACATAGTTTACAAGATTCCTAGGCAACGGAAATGACTCTTACAATTGTTTTCTATGTTTAGTCAGGCTGGGGCAGTTGTTTGCTTGCTTCAACATGTACAAATGCACGAGTCCAAAGTTCAGCTAAAAGTTTTAGTGCCATTGTTGCTTGCTTGTGTGCGTGCCCAAGCAGCCTTTCAGCAAGGAAGAACAAAAGATGATGTAAGAGAAGTGCTGAATTCCTGAAGATGTTCCATGTGTCTGTCTAGTCAGTTGATGACTCTGAAACTGTCGCAGTGTAGCGGCTGGCAAGCTTCTTACTCCGCGGGCGATGTACCAAGAGTTGACAGGATCTGACAGGAGCCGGATGGAGTCGGTGCGAAGAAAAGCACTTGGAACCCCTGAAAGACTAAGACCAAAAGATTAAGACTAGGTCCTATTTGCCAACTTGATCCAGTGATTTGAGTGCAGAGGCGCTTCCATGCGGCGTGCTGCCCGGGCTCCCAGGATCCTAGAAAATCCAGAGCTCCACAGTAAGCTAATTTTGGATGACAGCTACAAGCGTGTTACCAGGTACAAGGGTGCGCTTATGCTGGATCTTTCCCCCTTGTTTCTTTGGTCCTTGGGAGGTCTGGATGCAGCCTGTTCATTTACTTTCTTCATTTCTCCACTGGTGTACCTAAGGGTCATAGAGGATCTCCAGCAAGCATGGTAGTGACATGACATGTCATATTTCAATATATTTCACAAACAAAGTATGTGTCCTGTGTATCCTGGTTCTGTATGTTGTATCCCCGTGTATGCTGCTTCTGTATGTTTGTCCCTTTTTTTGTCGTTCAAAGCCATTGCGCGGCACACAGTTTGATTATACATTTGATCATTTACGCACATGCAGTATACATATAAATGTCACCAAAACTATCACCCATGCCCTGCCTTGTGCTCTTGGCAATTCTTCCTAAACGCACGGTGTTTCTAGGCCAGCGCACTACCACTTCGGAACTCCAGAGGCACTTCCTCGGAGTTTTGCTTGAGGAAAAACCAAGGAGACCACCAGATGACGTTTTGAGCTTTTTTCAGAACAATTCCCATATGCAGCACACTGTACCCGAGTCGTGAAGCAGATGGCAATCGATCTTCACAACGCTTTGCAGTCTGCAGAAATCGAGTCGCTACCGTGGACGTCCTGCAGTCGCTAGGTGATGATGCTGCAAGGTCCGCGTGACATGAGCCGAGGGTGAAGGTGGCACCACAAGAAACCCGAAGGAATAGGATTTTGCTCGCCCACTTGGTTGATAGCAATGTTGGTTTGGGGGGAGGACGGTGGGGGGAAGGTTGCGCGCGGGGAGGTAGGAGCTGTTGCTCGACCATGTCCAGAATCACAAGTCCTGCGATGGCTTTGTCCATGCGGTTGGGTATACGGCTGCAGTTCAACATCCCTGTAGGCGTGCCAGCTTTCGTTCAAAATGTTTGAAGAAGAAGCCAAATCCATGATGCGGTTTGATTTGTGTAACCAATCATCGGAGACAGAGGCCAGCCAAGAATTCCTAGGTGATCCTATATAGTAGGTGTTTCATTTGGCGCTGTTTCATCCAAAATGCGCTTCAGGCCTTTGCGATCTTCCACAGAGCCATTCAGGCAAAGGAACTTGGAGGTGTATTCTCTTCTGTTGACCCTTGTCAATCCAATTGAACCTATGCAAATCATGACGTCAAAGGTATTGCTCTTTTTTTCAGGTCCCCTTCCCTTCCTTCTAACAAGTTTATTCTTATCCTTTATCTATTCAATCTATTCAAAGTGGTAAGGAATATTGAGCCTCCCTTCCTTTCTTGTCGAGGCCGCCACGGCGTAGCTCTGAGGCCGCGCTGTGTGTTCAGGTTCTCATGGCCTTGAAGTGTTGGATTCCAAAGGCTCCAGGTTGATAGAGCTGACGCATGCTGACGCCCAGGTATAGTCAATAAATATATATATACTGTATATAAGCAAACTTGTACATTTAATTACATATATCATATACATATACATGCATATTGTTGTCTTTCTGTGACTTCTGTGGCTTGATGTGATCTCTTGCTGGTACTCTCCAAGCAGGCTAGCACCACGGCCAGCGGCGGTGGTTCCAAAGGCTCGGTCGAGGTTCTTTGGGTTGGAGTCCGGTTGGAGGCTCTTACATCACACTCCTTTTGTTTGAAAGATATACTGAGTACTGGAACCCAAATCTGTGGAACATCTGAGAACAGTCTGTTTTGCAGGATCACAAAAAACAACCCCCTTGAAAGTCTTTCACGCGTCCATGGTCCCTATCTCGTTAGCTGATCATTGATAGACAAAATTTGGATTCCTGCCTTTGCACACGCTGCCGGGCTTTTGTATACGCAGTGTTTGGTCTCAAGTCACGCGAAAAAGAACATAGATAAATCAACAAAGAGCTTGAAGATGTCCTCCATGGCCCTCCATAGGAGTGAGTAGGAATTTGAGCGGAGTTATGACAAGCTCTGATCATCTTTCATGTACAATCAAATGTTGTACAATCAAATATATGTAATATATATATATATATACGTTAAAGAAATCGTTTGATGTGCTTAAGTTGTGTGCACTGACGTCGCTTACCTTCGGCCCATCCGACGATTGGGATCCCACGCGTCCTGCAGGTTCGGCGCTGGCCGACTCGGACAAAGGCGAAGCGGCGAAGCGAAGCGGCGTCGGTGTCGGTGCGAGCTTTGGATTTAAGAAAGCCGTGGGGGTTTTGAGGTCATAGCTTTTCTTGCAGACATAGATATATAATGAGATATATAACATAGATGAGCAAGTCTTCGTGGCAATTCTTGCAACTTGGCTTGTTTCGGCAGGTCTCGGTCCCGAGCAAACGACGGCCAGCGCAGCCAAGAGAGTGCCTTGGAATCTCGAATTTGAGATCTCGCGTGTCTTGCAGAAAACCTTCGCTACCCTGAAGCTTCTTGGGGAATAGACTTGATGCTTTGTGGAGGGGATGTCACCAAGTGAAAGATGCGAAAGAGTCGCTTTAGGAAAAGAAAGAACAAAGGAAAGGTCTATTTTAAGGTCTAAATAAGACAGAAAGAAAGAAAGAACAGAACAGAACAGAAACGAAAGACAGAAAAGAAATTAACAGAGAACAAAAAAAAAATCAAGCAAGCTGCCTCGATGTGACATTGTCTAGCTCCTTCCACTGGGCAAGCTCCGACGGAAGGTTGCTGCAGCATTCGGCCGCCCAGCAGGGGCGGGCGCCCTATTGATGCATCAATCTAAAGGATCGAACACGCATTGTTTTCAAACCTCTGCGTTTCAGGCTGTTAAATCATATTAGACCTTGATCTCGCAAGTGTTTTCACTTCAGCATTTGCAATTTGAAATCCGAGACCCCTAGCCCTCTTTCCCAGCTGGATGATTTTCTTCAAAGTGCAAGAAGGCAGCGGTGCGGCCCTTGCGAAGTTGCGAAGTTGCTTGGAACAGTTTTCTGGGTAGTATTCTAGCACGTTGTTCCTCAACGAGGAAGGCTTTTATGTCTATCTAGCTTTCAGAACTGAATAGGTGTGCGAGTTTTAAAAAACGGCTGTAAGGGAGCTTAGCAAGACAACTTTCTCTTGACTCAGCGCTGATGAACGATCGGCTTCTCTCCTGACTGAGGATTCGTGTCTAAAACAAAACGGACATGAAAAAGACATGATTGTCCATTCAAGGGGGATTTGCAAGTGTTGAAGCGAGTAGGGCGTTGACCCAAGCTTGACCACACCCATGAAATTGTTGTCTCTTGAGCTTAGTGTCTTGGAGGCATCGGCGAGAAGCACCCACACACGAAGCTCATCGTGGGTTTAGGCAAAAGCCCTTTTGTTTGGTTTGTGCTTGCGTTTCTACATGTTGAAAGACGCAATTGAGATGCTTGTGTCATTGGAACAAAATCTTGCAATACAGTGGGTCTCATCGACAGATTCTAGAAATTCTTGTTTACGCCGTGCCATTTTGTCAAGCACAGGCCTTCAGCAGAAGACCGGGCTGGAATTGCCAGCCATTGCTGGATTCAGGACTTCAGACTTTTGTCAGACCTATGATCCAGTGACTCTTGCACTGTTACGCTTGTGACGTAGAGTTCCTAGCTGCTAACTTGTATGGCCTCGCCTCTGAGGTTGCTTTTGCTTGTGTGTTGATTGGCTCCACAAAATATTGGAACACTTGCTGTGGCACATGACTGATCAGGTGATTCAAATGGTGCAACACCTTCATTGCACATGGCCTCACAGCTTGGAAATTTGTGCCTTGTGTTTGCTCAGACTACTGGCCCGAGCAGGAGCCAAGGCGCTCGAAGTGGTCTGGCCCACCCCCGTCTAGAACTAAGACATGTTGCACCAGCATGGTTGCTGAGGGAGAATATGGTGTCAGTCGCGCTGAAAGAATCATGTTTGGCAAAGAGTTTTGAAATCCGAAGAAAAAGCAAAACTGTGCATATGGGATCATATGGGTGTGTTCTAGAATAGGGAGATCTTCCACTTTGACCCCCCCGCGGGAACAAAGGAAACGACTCAAAACCCATCTGTTGCGGGTTTCCCTATTACAAAACACACCCATGTTACAAACAACTTTGTGGGTTAAACACTGTTAAACAGACGATGTTTTAAGATGTTTCAAGAGTGTCCATGTCGACTTCCCATAAATCCGGAAAGCCAACACCACGCGGCCTGCACGGCGGTCTGCGCGGCGCTCCTAGGCCTCCAAGGGCCAAGAACCGTACGCTTCAACGGGGCACGCAAGCCTTGCCGAGCGGTGGCTTGGAAGCCTTTGGCGTCCCATGGGACGCAACGTGTTCGATGTGTTCAAAAGAAGTTTTTATCCACCAATTGATGGTTTCTTCCACCAAAATCCACTTGTGACACCAATTTGATCAAAGAAACAGTGATAGTCCTGTGCAAATTCAGTATATACATGATGGTTCCTATTCATGTAACTCTATCAAGACATGTTTGCCTTCACCGTGAAAGTTGAGCATCAGAGAAGTTGACAGGATTGTTAGGTCCAAATTAGAGTATTTGGACTGAGGCAACCCTTGTCACCTTGTCTCGTTTCTTGTCCTGTGCTCCTGGATGCTACCAATCAAGAATCCGCGCTGTGAATATTTGTGCATTGGAATTTGTATGAATTTGTCATCTCAAGGTCCGATGAGCTTGCGCCAGGAGTGGCCACTTGGGGAGCGCCAGTATGTCATGTCGGTCAGTATCATCTTCCAAAGAGTCTCACTGCTGTCAGACTAGCATAGACTAGCACCAGTCACCTCAAAAGGCCTTTGGTGCCTCACTAGGAAGCAAGACCCACAAATCAGTTTCCTTTTGATCAGCCCTTAGATCTGTAGGAGCAGCCTTCTTCTGCGGTCAAGCTGGACATGTTTGAACATTCGCTTGGTGGACAATTTCGACCCCAAGCCGCCGGTCGAAATCGGGCAAATCTATATACTGTAGTATACTGTATATATATATACGAATATATATGTGGAAGGTGATTCATTGGCGATTCATGGCAAACCATGGTAAACCTATCAAGAAACAGTCCATTCCAAAGAGTCAGCTGCGACGTAGGTGTCAATGCAAGAGAGAAGAGATACTGTGATCTTGAGTTTCTGCGTAAAGTGTAAAGATACGATGGAACTTCTCCGACTACATGCATCCCGGCAAGCTAGAAGCACCAATAAACTATCACAACATGCAATCATGCAAAGTTGTGTCACGACATGTCACGACCAATTTAGCGTCATGCCAGGAGTATGGGAAGGTCTACACTCGCCATGACTGGAACACAGCAGGGGCAACGTCCTCAGGGCAGTGAGAGAGTTGTATCAGAGGGACATCAACCTCAACCTAGGATAATAACCTTGGTACTTAAAGGCTAGCTTCTTATTTTGACAAGGATTGTGTGCTTTGTGGTATAACAACATGCATTGTTCTGGTGTGTAATTACTCGACTTCTCGCGATCCCTTGGAGTGTCGAGTGCCGGAGTGGATTTTTTGTGTTGAAGCATGTTGAAGCCATCACCTTCAAACCAATTTGATTTGTTGACTGATGGACCTGTACCTGCCCTTGGGGCGAAGAACACCTTCAACATCACTTTCATCAACCATGCCTTGGCAGCTGGTTGATGTCATTTGCTTTGAGTTGAGTTTCCGATAAATTTAAAGGAACCAAATCATTAGTGCAAGCGTGAGCTATCCTGCGTCCATATGGAAAAGCTAACTTAACCTAGTAGCATTAGTAGCGAACTTCTCCCTTAATTAAGTAGGCACCTGCTTGATTAAGTAGGAAAAACTTTCTCGTATCCGTCTCGTCGACTTCTGTTTTTTTCCACACGTGCCCGGCCCAAAGGTGCCGAGCCCACACGAGCTGAATCGAGCCATTGCATGTGAAGGGCTCTTTGGGCGTGGAACACAGGTGAGATGAAGCTCCGGTCAATGTCATTCACCTAATGTGTATAAATCTTGCCAAATCGAAGGTTTGTTTGATTTGCACAGTTACTATGACACATCATGCATCATCCATATGATTTCAATTAGGATTCCCACCCTGTCCCTCCTTGATTGCCACTCCACTTCCAAGCAGAAGGTGAACATTTGCGCATGTGGTGTTCCTCCTAAGTTTAACTTGCACAATCTTGGGACTGTCCTCTTTCGCCAATGTAACACAAACTTAAGAAAACCATGCAGATCCAATATGATCCAATCGCCCTCACCCCATGTTAGCCCATGTTAACCCGTGAGCGAATGCTTCGGTTGGAAGGCACTCCCACGGGGCCCGATGTGCTGGGATGGCACCACTCATCATGCAGACGAGCTCAGTGGGCGGGTGGCCGCGGAAACGTTTGAGCACCCTCTTTGATCCTAACCAGTTTGTTATGGTTTGTCCAAGCTCACCTCAGCACAAAGATCATTGAACCGTGACCTCTGGCATAAATTTGCTTAGCTTTGGGACATGTCCTGACGTGATCGAATTGCACAGCAGTTGATGTGAAAAAGGGCGGTAGCACCACTTCGCAAGAAACATGCGGTCTCAATTAGCTACCATAGCCGCACTACTTTGCTGAACTGGCCTGGATATAGCTTCTGAAAGGTTGTCGCAACTATAATCAATAAGCCAAGTTCGGGCAGCATGAGGAATCAACGCATCAAGAGCACGCCAGACAACTCTGAAAAGTTGTAGAACTGATGAGGACCGTTGATTTATGTTAATTTAATGATGGACCCTTCTGCGTGAGGTGCCAGTGCGTACCACCCTCACGAGCCCCAAGTGCCACCTCAGAAGACATGTCCGGGGTGAGGACTTGGCCGAAAGAACCAAGGACTATGGAATGATGTACCGAAAGATACAGTGACTCTATGAAAGGACAAGACTGTAACCTAAGAGCGATGGCCTCCAACCTAGTTGCATTGGCTTCCAACCTACTCTATGAAAGGACAAGACTGTAACATGTGTAATGTGTTGAAAACCATGTTGCCGCTCGATGCATCCATTCATTCAATGCCGCTTGAAGTTGATTCGTGCGAGATAAACATGGTTCCCCCACTGGTTTCTTGCAACAATTGGTTCTGGAACAGCAGGACTCCTCGGTTTGAATTGATGTGTCCAGTGCGGGTCGTGGGTTACTGAAACAAACCAACACAGGATTTCATTTGAAGGAAGCTGTTGCGGAAGCTTCGCAGCTCCGATGTGTTGCAGTCTTGTCTCATTCCACCGCCAATGCCCCGAACAGTGGAGTCGGACGAAGCCTGGATGCCGTTGGTGTGAAGAAAACAGTGGCACGTTGAAGATCACGATACCACTAGTTCCAACCACACAGGGTAATTTGATGCTTTTGGATTAGAGGTGCCCTGGAATAGTCTTGTATTTTTGGACCAACACCCTGATTTCCGGTTATTCAAGCAACAGCATCCGAGCAGATGCGTCCAACTTTCCAGTTGAAAGCCGTCGATTTGCCATCTCATCAAGTCTTTCCAATGTGTCATGTCAGAAGGCATGAATCAATGGTATCAAAGCCAAAGACCGGAGGACAATACAATAGATTCTATAGATGTTGTTTCCGGAAGACTTGTCGCGTATGTTATATGTTTGACCTTTTGTTGCGTCGGTTGTCATGATGGGATGCTGTGAGGATAGCTTCGAAGGTTCGTCACTGGAAGATTTGCTCGGCAGCAAAGCTGCCGGTTGAGCAGTTGCAAAAAAAGAGGATTCAAAGATGCCAGAGTCGCACAGTTGCTACATGTCAAGAACCACATGTCAAGAGTGAAGAAGGTCCACCATGTTGGAGGCATCTCTTGAAACGGAGAACAGAGTATAGGAATCACTTGCAGGCGGACCCCTACGTCAAGCAGCTCGTGGAGAAGGCAAAGGGTTTCTTCACCGGTGTTTGTTGTGGAAGGAACGAGACGAATGTCACCGGAGCTGAGGACTGGCACTTATGGTTTGCATTTGATTCCCAGCCATCCATCCGTCATGGCACGCCTTTCATGGGCGCCACACCACTCCATCTCCGCACCGCTCCATCTTCGCTCAAGCAGAGCTCAAGCAGAGCTCATCCGGTCGACCCGTCATGGCCGACCGATGGACGTCCAAGTGGACGGGCCGTCAGGCGATCACCACAGAAGCTCCACATGCATTCTAAGTCTACCATCGTCTACCAAAACGAATCTATAAGGTTAAGATGTCCCAAGTAGACGAATGAGGTACCCCAAAAAGGACCACATGAACCAAATGCAACACGAAACCATCTTTCCATGTGCAATTCAAGAGTTGCATGCCTCTTTCACAGCCTTGGCCATTGTACATATTGAAGCATGGGTCGCTTCTCTTCTTGGGCACAAGCACAAGGGCAGTTGGAGAAGGCCACAGAGCTTCCAAAGGTGGGGCCAATTAAGAAGCTCTCAGATTGCCAACTCATAGCTTGGAGAATATAGACATCTCATTACATCTCAATCGACCTGTATATGTGTGTCCATGTTCTTCCCTAGATTTGAGAGATGAATTTGGAAAAAGACGTGTCTTAAATAAGTCTTGTCTCAATTGTGTCCGGCACTTTGACCGCAAAAGACCCTCATTCAGGCGCTTGTACCAAAACCGGAGTGCACAAATGTGAGGTTGTCGAAGTTAGTCACTATGAGCCACAAGATTATGTGGTGGAGAGGCTTGTTTGCAATTGGTTTGTAGTGGTTTCCTTTTCTGTTGTTCTCCTGGTCAACAGATTACATCATGTTTTACATGTAAAAAGAAATGCATGCAAACTATTCAAACTATTCAAACAAACTATTCTGTTTGTTTCGGTTCTTCAGTGTTGCCAAAAAGCAACCACGTCGATGTATTCCGAACTGTTCGTCCTGTTCGGTCCTTCTGTTCATTCTCAACAAGGTCAACATGTAACGTCAAGTCTTGCAGGCCGGGAACGGGAAGAATCTGAAAAGGCGCACAAATTTTAAGCTGGCGCCGTTGGTCTCCGGCGCAGTGCCTGATTTGCTCAGGAATCACGAGCTTCGCTCAGAGAGCAATGGCATCAGGCTGGTGGTTTGGAGAGTGGGACGAGAGATTGTTGTTCGGGCTTGAGACCTTCATGAAGGACACTCCTAATAAGACAGGATGACCACCTCAGAATACTGACCAAGGTATTGTTCGGCTCACTTCATTTGAGCAAAGCGGATTCTGCAACCGTTTCCGTTGGTTTCGTGTGTATTGAATCAAGTCCAATGTCCTGCCTGAGACGTGGGGTTTTCCAAGCAGCAACAGGTGGAAACCTAGGCGTCTAGGCTCAGAGGCCTTTCGCCTGACGGTTCACGGGGACCCGTGGGTGGGCTGCTAGGGGCGACTCTAGGGTTCACCGTCCATAGAGATCGACTGCCTCCGGTTGATCGCCCGTTGACCTTTGATCCCGGATTGACCTTTGGTTTCTGTGTGACGGTGATTCCCTCATGGCACTTCCTTCTGGGCTGACGGAGCCCTACGCTTCATGGTTAGAAGACCTGCTGCAGGATTTCCGTCGATCCTCAGACCTGTTCAAGATCGGCGACATCACGTGCATTGTTGGTGTCGTGTCCGATGTGAAGTGTGATCACCTGATGGTTTTGCCACATGTCTTTTTCCCCGGGAGGGGTTTTTGGCCCAGTGATAATGCTGCATTGATCCAAGTGAGCCTTGCCAACCTCGGTGAGCGATCACTGGCTATTCGCCCCGGAAGCGAACTCATCCTGGCAGGAAGTGTGATTACTCAGGTGGACCGATTGATCATTTTTCACCATGATGCACTCATGTTGTTCAGACCTGAGTTCAATCCAGATCAAAATTGGGATGCCTTGCACCTCTTTGCCGGATCCTTCAACGGATGGGGACAGGGGTTGAAGTGGCTTTGCAATAGTGAAAAGGACTTGTTTCTTGGCCTTCAGATCCATGTTGATCTGGATCCGCAGGTAATGGAGGCCTGGAGTCAGAAGCACAATCTTCCTTTTGAAAAAGCTCCGTTGAAGCCTGTGACGGTGTGGACTGCTCAGATGAACAAGGCGATTCTTGGATCGGTGGGTGACATTTCGATTCTTCATGCCATGACTTCGCAGTTCAATTTGCTCTGCACCATCTCACCTCCTTGTGTAAGCTGGAGTCGAGCCGGCAAAGGCTTAGGCCTTTCATGTGCGGAGGGATGGGCTTTTGTTGAAGCTATCATTTTGATTTGCATTGCTCAGCCTGTTCTCGTCCCTGCGGAATGTGTCAAAGACATTGCATCTCATGATCATTTCCATGTGATTGAAGAGCTGATGCGTTTGATTGGCTACAAGAAGGTGTGGTCACAAGTTGCAACATTGCATCAACTGGCACATTGCACGAGAGATCGATGGCTGGCAGTTTGGGTGCGAAATGACATTGCTGCTCATCCTTTGGATGCCAGTTTTCGACTTATTGCACCGAAGTTGGAGTTTTGGAGTTCGGACATCTATGCATATGCCATACCAAAGGGCATCAAGGAGCAACTTGTGCTGTCTAGCTCTGAATGCGACATCTACGGGAATGCAGCTTTTCTGCCATCCTCCTTGCGATCGAAAATTGGGAAGTCTTGTGAACCACACGAGGTCATTCGAGTTCGTGTTCCTGACACCACCAAGCCATTGCCCACTCTTTGTGCAAATTACAGTGCGCAACATTTGTTGAACAAGAATCACCTGGAACGTAAGGGGATTTTTGCGGTGTTGATCAATGAAGGGACGCACTTTGCATTCTTGGATCCCTTTCTGTTTGCATCGCTGCTGGGGGCGTGTGAAGACATTTTCATGCCCGACAAGATTCCCCTTGCTTTTCGTGCTATTGGGAATGCAATTGCAGTCCCTCACGCTGTTCTTGCATTGGTGATTGGGTTTCAGTCCATTACTAAGGTGCATGGTTCAATCCTGAAGATTGTCCAGCAGTGTTGGAATGATCGCTTGACCACCCGAAATGCCATTGTTCTTGAACGAAAGAACCATGTTGTCCTTGCTAGTATCAAGTCAATCGCATGCTCCATTCCCGCAGCCGTTTTTGACACATTCGGCCAGGCACCATGGCAGCAGATCACGTGCACATCACGCTTCGATTCATGTGTCATGCATACCAAGGTTTCCAAGTGTTGGACTCTGTCGCAACTGGTTCACCAGGTTTTTGGCCTCGATGAAAACACTCAGAAATGTGCTTTTTTGCATTCGGAGACTGTTGCCAACAAAGACTGCCCATGTGTTGGAGCCATGTTTGACTTGCCGACTAAATGGACTTTATTCGTCGCTTCCAAGCCGGTTCTGGATTTGCATGCAGGTGAGAACGATTCTGCCATTTCGCCCACTGTGCCTTTCAGTCCTGTGCCGTCCTCTCCTGGCCGACTGTCCATCCCGGTTGGGCTTGATGCGGATGCCATTTTCAGGTCCTGCTTCTTTCTCCAAGCCCTTGGCCTCGTTGAAACACATTTGGCTTTGAAGGAAGATTGCATTGAATGTCAGTTTGTCTCTGATCAACCTTGCATGCTGTTTTCACTGCCCTTTCGCAAGCGTGCTTTGCCGCAAGACGACATCGTGACCTTTCCGCTTCTCGCCAAGAGGCCGCGGAATCAGTGCATCTTGGTGAATGAGCCTGCGCCCAAAGGCTTCCTCCTGCCGCCATTTCCAGCTAATCAGCCATGGATTGTCGCCAGAACTCCTGCTGAGGTTGTCTGTGTGCAAGTTGAAGTCCAGCCGTTCCAGTCATCTTGTGTGGATTTCAGAGACACTCATTTCCAGGTCGTCCGCCTCAATGGATGCCCATGTGATGATGCAAGCTTTCGTGGCTTCAACCATGCTGACTTTGTTGAGCTTCAACCTGCCTCTCCAATCCGCATTG